ATTGAGTTAATGCTAAATCTGAACATATTTTGACCTAAAAATCATATTTGGCATATAAAAGTAAAATTGATTTTTTTTAGCTGTTTCCCCCTTTTCTATTGCAAAGATCTCATATTATTAGATAGAGAATAAAGTAGAGATAAAAATAAAAAAAGAATTTATCTTAAAGAATAAAAGTTATTTAAATATATATTTTTTGTTTAAAAAAAGATTTGGATTTATTATAGTGATTATAGATGAGAAACGAAACCCCTTAATAACAATCAAAACTTAGATGAAACTATATTAAAATCATAATAAGAGATATGATGAAACCCATTCAATATGACGAAAGCTGAAACTGTTAAAACTATATTAAAAACATAGAAAAGGGTATGACAAAATTATTTTGAGGAGGTTTCAGCAGGCATCTATAATAGTGATACAGTTAGATACATGATAAAATTATTTTTTATTTTATTTTTTTCTATTATTATGTATTATCTATTCCTATTATTAATTATTTATTTAATTAATAATAAATTAATTAATTCATAATTATTAATTAATTAATTTATTTTTTTAATTTATGATTTTATAGGTTAGATTAGTAGATTCATCATTTTAGTTTATCATAATAATATAATAAGATAGGTAACTTTATTATTATTTTTTTATATTTTTGATTATTAATCAAAAACTAATGATTTTTTCAATTTTAGTTAGAACTGATTTGTTTCTTACAGATGAAATGGTAGTGCAATATCTTTTAGCTTATAATATAATATTTTTTATTATTATTTCTATTATTTATATAATATTTCTATCTAATAATATTCTAGATTTTTAGGATAATAATTCTCTAATATTTTAGAAATCATAAATATTATATTAATAATCAATTAAAAATTAAAAATAAATAAAACTTAATAAAAAATAAAATTAAAAATAATAGAAAAAGAATAATAAAGGAGACAATTAAAAAATTTATAATTAAAAAAAGAATAAAAAAAAGAAAATAAAAACAAAATTAAAAATTAAAAAAAAATATTAAAAAATATAAAATGATCAGAGAGGATAAAAAAAATTATTTAAATTAAAAAATAATTAAATGGATAAAAATTAAAAAAAATAAAAAAAAATAAAAGGTTTAAAGGAATGAAAAAAATAAAATAATTAGATGAATAAAATAAATAATAAAATTAAAAAATAAACAATTAAAGATAAAAAATAATTAAAAAATTAAAAAAAAAAAATAATAAATTAAAAAAAATAAAAGTTTAGAGAAGAGATAAGAAATTATAATAAAAAAAAAGATAAAGTTAAAAAGATCAGAGAAGAATAAAATAAATTAAAAAAAATTAAAAAACAATGATAAATTATTCAAATATTAAATAATAAAAAATATTTATATGTTATAATAAAATTAATTTCAAATACTTTCATATTAAAAAATTATATAATAATAATTCTAAAATATAAATCAAATTTTATACAATAGATATATCTAGAGAAAGATCATTTAGCAATGATAAAATTATTGTACTTTAATCTAATCTAGTTAATTAAATAATTTTATTTATTTATTTCAAAAATAGATATTTATTTTTTATTATAGCTTTTTTATTTTATTTTATTTTTATTATTTTTTATTTTTATTTTTATTTTTCTTTATTTATTTTTATCATTTTTTTTTTTTAATTTTTTTTTTTTTTTTTTATCTTTTTTTATTTAGTTTTACTTTTTGTTTTCATTTTTATAATAAATAAAATAAAAAAATAAAAAATTAAATATAATGAAAAAAAATTTAAAATAAAAATTTCTGCAGATCTTAGCAGATATGTTTAATGTAATTTTTATTCATTTTTATAATCTGATTAATGAAAAATAATACTATTTTTATAGTAAATCAAATAGAATTTTATATATATATAGGTAGGATTATATATAAAACTATATACTTATATAATATAAACTCATAAAATTATATATTCTTTTTTTATATTTTTAATATAATTTTAATAGTTTGACTTTTATCATATTGAAAGTTTTTCTTTATATCCTTATTATTTTTAATTAATTTTATTTAAGTTTTAAATTTTCTTAAATTTATTTTTCATCTATAAATAAAATAATAAATTATCATTAATATTTTCAATATAATCAGATATGGATTTGAATAATATTAAATTTAAAATTATTTTTTCATTATAAGGTTTAAAGTATATGTAAAAATAAAATATAAGGTATAAGGATATTAGTAAATCTAAATTTTATCTAATAATTGAATTAATCAAAAATTAAATTTATTAATTAATTAATTAATAAAAAAATATAAAATATAAATTATCATATTTATTTTAAAGAAATATTTATGCTATACAAAATAATTATTATTGTAAATATCAGTAATAAATTACTTTATTATTCTTATACAATTTGTATTAAGAAAGTTAATTTATATTTTAATTTGTAAAATTTTTAGAAATTTGTTAAAAAATTATCTGATATTTTATTCATTAACTTTTATTTTTTAAATTAATAAAAAGTTTTAAATTATTTATAAAATATAAATATTTTATTTTTATCGTCTATGAACTTGCTCTGAAACTGCTATCCAGGGCAATAGACGGTAAATAATTGAAAATATGAGTAGTCTTTCGGATGCTTGATTCAATTTTTAGTTACTTTATTTAATTTTCTTTTTCAGGAATGGGACTTTTTTTATGACTAGACTCACGTCTATTAATTCTATTAATTCAATACTGACAGAACAAAAGTAGATTAAAAATTTAAATTGATAAATTTGTGCTTAATAGGTTAAATGTTCGCCTGTGAAAAAATTTACCGACGCGTAATATTTAAATTATCAGTTCTGTATCTAAGATTGAAACTCTGAAATTAAAATTTCTTTATTGACATCAAAATTCCGAATTCAATTTCAAATTGAATTTCAGATAATCAGTTACGAAATTAAGGTATCTGAAATATAATTTAGTAAAAAATATTATTCTTTAATAGGAATTTTTTTTTGAAAAAAAAGTTCTGTTACATTGAAGAGGGAATTATTTGGAATATTTTCGCAGAATTTGGAAAGAAATAACAAGTAGAATTCAGAATTATGGAAGTTTAAAAATAAGTTAAATCTATTAAAATAGAAAATCGATCAATAATAAATTTCATATGGGATATATATTTACCACCCCATAGGCACGTCTGTTATTAGATTTGAAATTAGGGCATCTAAAATTAAATAAAATAATGCCACAAAATTTTTAAACAAAGTTGTCAAAATTTGCACCAAATTAGGTAGGTTTGCTATGAAGATCAAGTTATGGATCATAAATCGTAAAATAGCAAACGACCCATATTATCATAATGAATAGATTTAAACTATATATAAATTTTTATAAATAAATAAATAAATAATTATTTATTGGCAGCATTGGTAGAATAAAGTTTCGATAAACATGATTTAATAGGAAACCTTCCAAATAAATTCTAGTAAATTGATCCGATTTTAACTTTTTATCAACCAACATAAACTTTTGGATTATAAGGTGACCAGTGACTTTTGTAAGACTGCTGTACTTGTTGGTAAATTTAAAATGTCGCAGCAGCAGCATTATTTAAATCAACGAACAATATTATCTGGAAGAAGAGAAGTAGTTGGTATATTTTTTAAAGAAAGCTTACCTTTCCTGCCAACAGATAAGATATACGTTTATAAAAAGTATTTTTATGAATGTAAGAAATCGGTTCTTTCCTCGAAATAAACCAATTAATATAACTTTAAGATTATAAATAACATTAAAAAAAAAAACTTTACACTGACTTCGCAATTTTTTTTACAAGTCGAAATTCAATACTTTTAAAGAAGTTTGAATTATAATAAATTATCGTGACGCGAAAATTCTAAATTATAATAGCTTCCATTATGCAAAGCTTAATATTTTAAGAATAAATTATAATAAATTTTGTAACAATTCTATTATAATAAATTTTTTTTTTAATATTACCTTAACAAAATGCACGGATTGCGTTAGTTATTTTGCCATCCTTTTCTTCACCTCTTTTTTTCCATTCATTTTTTTATTTCTCTTAAAGGTTTAGAATTCCATGATCAGATTTTTGGCTCAATAGTTACCAGGCCTTCTGTATTAGATGGTTGTGTTTACTTAAATTAGTTTTGTAATATATAGTTCTGAACTGGGATATCAACTATGTTTGGATATGTTTAGCTCATAAATCCTATCCATTTTTTATATGTATCTTTGTAAAATATATAATAAATTGAAATTCCGTATGTCCAAATCTAATTGAGGGCTCCTAAACCTGCATAAATCTGATTACTAGAAGCAGAGTTATCGTGCTGCTTGTTCATACTCCTATTATTCCAATTTATAATTTAATTTATTATAAAAGAAAATTAAGTTTTTTCATAATATTGAATACTATCGATTATGTATTTTCTAAATAAAAATAACTTATTATTATTGCAAATATAATATCATTTTATATTCCTGCAACAACCAAATAAAAAGATTTTTTACAAGAATAAAGTTTGTTTATCATTATCCCTCATTAATTTTGAAATATAATTTTTATTGATTATTTTCAAATTAATTATTCAAAAACTTATAAACTATATTATTCAAACAATAAATTAAGTTATTTATTTATGGTGTCATTTTTTTCTGGTTACCTGAAATATTTCATAATCTATAATCAATTCTGTAACATTTGAACCACTATCGAAGATCATTTTAACTTCAGGATAAGTGTTAAATGGATAGTGTCCTAACAAACTATTATTTACAATATATAAATCACATAACTGACCAAAAGCAGGCCCAAGATCTGAACGGGAGAATACAGCATATTTTTGTTGTTCAATATTATTTGCAACTCTTGCAATGTACCCCGAATTAATATCTTCTTTACTTGTAAAAGAAAATATAAAACTGTCTGACGTAAATCCCCACTTACCACCACAAGAAAGAAGATTACTGTCATCAAGTTTCCAAGTTAATGGATTGTACCCACCAATTAATTTAGCATTTTCTTGCAATTTTGAAATCATGATAGTTGAACATTTGTTATCAGTTAACTCATGAAATTTCTTTACATCAAATCCATCTCGACTAGCACGATAAAGAAGTTGAAGTGAGTAAGGAATATTTCCGGAATTATAAAAGAGTTTATCTTTTTTATCAATCCAACTTGCAATTACTGAGAAGTGATTATAATCAATAAGAACAGAATCAAAAGACAAGTTGGATCTCTTAGGTAAAATTAAGGTACTTGATGATGCATCAGGATCAATATGATATCCAATTATATCCCTATATAATTGTTTAGGAAAGATTTGTTCAAATGGACTAACACTTCGCCAAAAAGCTTTTCCGGGAATTTGAAACCATCTAATGTGTGGAATCATATCGTGGAGAATAATTTCCAACTCTTCAAAATTGCTTGATGTCCAGCGAGATACATTATCGATATCCAATGACGTGGATAATTTTGAGATGCCCCATTTAAGAATATAGTTCCAAATTTCAAATTCATCCATTTCAAGTTCATCTTGCTTCAAAAGGCAAATAATTGGATTTTTTCCTAGTGATAAAAATTTCGGAGATTTAAAAAGAATATCAGGATTTGTACAAATATTTTCTAAACAATAATTTCTTAGGTCTCCAAAACCTTCATATTGAAAGATAATTTGAAAATTTTCGACCAGATCATTTCTTAAATATTCTGCTTGATTATTGATTATATAATTTTGAATATAATCTCTTAATTTTTGAAGATTCAATTCGTCGGTTGCGATCAAAAGTTTCAACGCTTGTGTTCCATTTAGATTAATTATTCCTGTATAAAAGAACTTTAAAATTAATTCAAAGATTTCCGGTGAAATATTTGGCTTTTTAAAAATAAAAATTCCATTTGCTTTTTCTGCCCATTCTTTTGAAAATGCAGCTTTAAAATATGTTGACCTTGCCCCTAAAATTAATGAGTGCGCAAAAAGTTCTTTCATATTTTTGCCTTCTCCAGCTTGAATAATTACATCGTAATTTTCTCCACTAGAAAGGAGTTTTCCGATATCATAAGATAAATCTGGTAAAAAGCTTCCCTCCATGGTGTTTTAAGAATTAAAGAAGAATGTTTGACGATCGCAAGCAAAAATTCGGAATAATTTATACCAATTCCGAGTCATGTGAAATTCATTCCGCAGCAAAATACTTGGTAATGAAGATGACGGATATCATTCTATTAAACAAAGTGACATCAATATGCGCTAATTTACAAAGGTTTAATGTCATTTTGCGGATAACCCTGTGATGATTCTGGCCATATTTATTGTCCAACAATCGGAAATTATAATTGTGTAATAGCTGAACTTAAGTTTCTTCAAGATACCTTTGATATATGTTCAACTAATGATAGTACTGGTTGGAATATAATTCTTAATCAGGAAAAGTACAATATATTTGAAGTATTGAATTTATTTTTATTTTGGCAAATTATAGAAATTTTCAATTGTAATAAGTCCTAAATTTCCTTAATGTATATGTGACTATATAAGAAAAAGGTTGCGTCCCGAAAGAAATCCTTATTTTTAATGGATGGAAATGTGTTGATAGATTTAAGAATAAAATTTTATTATATGGATCACTTTAAATCACATGTTCACGATAATAAGAATCTCCGAACATGTCTTTACATCATTCAATATGAAATAGACACTTCGATTTTTAGTAAATAATATTTTATCATATATTTTCAAAATCTTGTTTTAAAAAAAAAGTAATATTTTTATTGTTCACAATGATAAATTATATCGATTTATATAGATCATTTGTTTGTTATTAAAAATCGAGTTACGAACATGGTATTTTGAGATTTTTCGTATTAAATAACATGAACATACATATCGATAATCTGGTAACGATTGTTCATTATAATTTGATTTAAAAACTTTACAAGAGGACATTTCATGTCACGTTGTTTCTTGGAAATGACTTAATAATCAACAAAGAAACTCTATGCGACTTACTTATAATCAAGTGTGGCAATTTCTAAATTTAATAAATATTCTATTTACAATTTCTCACATGCATTGTAGCAAATTTGTATCAGCGACTCAATCAATACTTAGTCATTAGGAAATACCAGATTTGTTTTTCAGAGTCAACTCATTGACTCTGATTCCAACGACTGATTACGTGAAGCAATTACATTTTTTTTTGCTTTTTATTTTAAAGAAAAAAAATATACAAAAGAAAAAGAGGAGGCAAGAAAATGAACGATAAGAAAGTAAAAAGATAGAAGCTTTTATGAAATATATTTTAGTAACACAATATCAAATTTTACACCCCTATTTTACTGATGTGGTACTGCCATAAGTTTATTAAATTAATGTTATAAAAATTACAAATGAAAATAAAAGTAAAAAAACATAAATTAAAACTATGATTATCTCTTGTGACTATATATAAGCCTATTTAAATTGACTGATCTTCAGAAATTTCCTCTGAAGAAGCCAATAGATCTATATTTATTGATTTAATCATCAACACCTCACATAACTGGTGATATATAAGAGGAGTGAGAAATTATTTTTCAACACTTAAAAAATTAAATTAAATCTAAGAAAGAATTTAAATCTATACCATATTCTACTCTTCATATCCTAGCTTCCGACTTT